TCTTCAGTTTGAGGTTTTGATCAGTCAAGGTTGGGTTGTTGTGGTATGAGTCTGGGCCCACGTCCATGTTGGATATATACATGGTTCATTTCAGGTTTGCGTTTCATCTGGTTGCAACCTAAACCATAAACTAGGTAAGCCCATGCTAAACCCGCACAATGTGATTCCCACCCCCGAAGCTGGTTTATGAACCGGACTAAACACACGTATGTATCCACCAGAAGCCCAGCAGTGAAAATCTTAGTGGACTACACCAGCTTATCTAAACCCAATGAATTCCCATTAAATTGCATTAAACCACAATTTTGCTCCTAAATCCTACAGGATGGTTCTCCCCACTTACAAGTTGTTTGATGATAAACCCGATGAATTATAGTTGTATCTACCATAAACATCCATAAATCTAGAGGCAACATTCCCATGTAGAGAATATCTTCGCATACCATGTTTTCATCGTACTCCAGACCTGGGTTTTGGTATGTTACTTTGATAGGCATTTCAGCTCAATCTGGAGGGAACAGTTGGGCCATGGCGAATCCACTGAATGCCCCTCCACAGCTTTCTATCCCCTATGTCGTTCCACAGCAGCTGTGGACGTTGGATGAATTGAAGGCTGCTTTGATCAGGGAGTTTCCTCATTTGTCTACCGAAGAAGGACAGGGTTGTCAAAGGTAACGTTTTTAAAGGTTGGCTGAGTAAAAATTAGCAAGTTTCTTCCCCGGGGCCTCACCCAAGGTGAACTCGGAAAAATAGAACCCACCCCCTGGAAGTTTGGGCTGGCTTTGGGATTGGAATTTTGGTTCTGGCCCCGAAATTTCCCTATGTGGTCTCTATACCAGCCACGCATGGCATACTCAGAATTCTTCGCATTCGCACTCCAGCGACGCCATCGCACTCGACAGCTGGGGAGGTACACATACTGTCAAATATCTGCGCATTCCATAAATCTTCGTTTTCGGTGAATGAAACGTTTTTTTCGTTTTTTTTCTCGTTTTTTTTTGGCTAAAATCGCCTGGAATCACGTTTTCTGGCATATGGGGAAAATGGAGTTTTCGCGTGAGACGTCTGTAGTTTCACATACTATCGCATTTCAGGCCATTTTGGCCAAAAAAAAGAATTACTTTACTTCGTGTGATCCCCACCATGACATTTATAGATTTTCTTACTGGCAAATCTTCTGGCATTCTATCTGACATATCTTCTGACATTCTATTTGACATTCTATCTGGCATATCTTCTGGCATATGATCTGGCATATCTTCTGGCATATCTTCTGGCATTCTATCTGGCAATTCTTCTGGCATTCTTTCTGGCATATCTTCTGGCATTCTATCTGACATATCTTCTGGCATTCTATCTGGCATATCTTCTGGCATATATTCTGACATATCTTCTGGCATTCTATCTGGCATTCTATCTGGCATATCTTCTGGCATATGTTCTGGCATATATTCTGACATATCTCTGGCATTCTATCTGGCAAATCTTCTGGCATTCTATCTGGCATATCTTCTGGCATTCTATCTGACATATCTTCTGGCATTCTATCTGGCATTCTATCTGGCATATCTTCTGGCATATTTTCTGACATATCTTCTGGCATTCTATCTGGCATTCTATCTGGCATATCTTCTGCATTCTTTCTAACTTTCTTCTGCACATTCTTTGTCCCATATCTTCCTACATGAGGTCCGGCAGGGAACACTGGGCGCGGATGGTCGCGGTTGAGGTCCGGCAGGGAACACTGGGCGCGGATGGTCGTGGTTGAGGTCCGGCAGGGAACACTGGGCATGGATGGTCGTGGTTGAGGTCCGGCAGGGAACACTGGGCGTGGATGGTCGTGGTTGAGGTCCGGCAGAGAACACTGTGGATCGCGGTCGCAGTTGAGCAAGGACGACGAGGACGACGAGGACGACGAGGAGGACGAGGAGGAGGAGGAGAGGAGGACGAGGCAGGAGGAGGCGGAGGAGGAGGAGAAGGAGGAGGAGGAGAAGGAGAAGGAGGAGGAGGCAACTGACATAGAATCTAACAACCCTCACCTGGCAGGTGGGGAAAAAACAGTTCAGCAGGGTGAATTGTGATAATTTTCTGGTATATGATGGAAAAAAATGGTGTTGGATCCATGGGGAAGGTCGAAGGGGGCCGAAGGGGGCCACGCATACTGTTTTATTTTCGCATTCCAGAAAATTAGCGCACTCCAGGGGTGGCATCGTACTCTATCGGTGTGGAATTATTTTGCACGGAAGAAAACGGGATCGTCGATGATTTGTGTTCCCAGATCCTGTTGTGCAGAGCTCTTTGCGGGGCCACAACGATGTCAAGAAAGATGGGGATGGCGCTGCTGGTGAAAGGCCAGCCAAGCGTGCCAGAACATAAGCTGAAAGCTTCTGAATTGGGTTTTGAGATCCTGAAAAGTGTAGATGACAAATTCCAAAAAGAACGTTATTAATCCATTTTTTGAAAGCTCAACATTATTGATTATGACATTTCCAGAAATTGTTGAAAGTAAGGATCGTCTTTGGGGAAGAACATGTGCAGTCGACAACGTACATGCCAGAAGAAAAGGAGTACTTGGCAAACTGTATGAAATACAAATTTCACCTGAAAGGGGTCTTCGCAATTCCCTGAAATTTCCCAGCTATTTTGGCATGGAATATGTTCGGCCCTGGAATATGGGCAAGAAACTGCTAGAATAAACCATAGTTAAGCCACCTTTTTTAGGCAACTGAACGCTATCTTGGGGGCCCCGTCCTGTATGAAAGCACCATGTTTGCAGGTGCGCGAACGGATCCGGCGCATCCGCTGGAGCGGCCCTCCGCGGTGAGCGAAAAACTGCGGCAACGGGTGGTGCTGGTTGAAACGGGTGGTTTGTTCTCTGGGGATGTCATTCCTAGGTGTTTTAGATGTAGATATAAAGACATAGATGCAGCCGACAATCACAAACATAATATATATAACTATATATATACATATACACATGTAATTATAATTATATGTATATGATCATATGTGTACATACAGTATACGTACATTGACAACATGTAACCTGAAAATATGCACATAAGTACATATTGTTTGACCCCATATTGATTGTCAAGGATCAACAGAAATCGACTTATGAATCATAACGATCGTCATCGAAAGTGGTTTGATTCCACTTAACAAATGGAGGGGATTTTGACCAAAATGATGCTTAGAAGTGGACTCAATGATGCGGTCATAGAAACAGGGCTCCATTGCCAGTGCAGGTTGAGGCAAAACTACACCGTGTGGTGCCCAAGAGCCCATGGAAGAGAACTCAGAAATCGCAGTGACACCATGCACGAAATCACAGGGAGTTCCCAAGATAGATCGATTTTTCCAAACTGGTTGCTAAATGAAGATCAATGGTCTTTGCTTCCTGTGGAAGTTGGCAGTTCATGCTGAGAAATCAGGGCTTCAAACATATATACAGTTTGTTTGATTTTATGCTTCCAGGGATGTAGATTTTTCCTGATGTTTTATGCATAACAGTGTCGAGGAGCAGTTGTGAAACCGGGGCTACACACTTAGTCCATCGAGTTAATCAGTGCCAAAGCCTCAAAAAAACAATGTGACCAAATGATACCATGATATGAAGCGCCAAATTCATACATAACCATATAAGATATCATAAGCATTTTGACCCTATGCTTGAACCTTTGCTAAGCCCTCTTACTTCGCATAGGAATGCGTAAACTGGTTTCTGTATGTTTCTGTATTTTGAGCCGAAACATCAAATGATACCAAACGGCCAGATCATGTAGGTTTTTTTCAATATTTTGAGTGCCTGGAAGTGCTAACCAATGAGAATATAGCTGACTTTGACGTCTCCAATCATCTCCAATCAGTCCATGACGGGTTGAACTTTCTATCGGCTAGACTTTCCTCAAAAGTCATCGCAGTATCTCAAACGCATTGTTCGTCAACGGAACCAACTGCAGGCTGTCATTTTTGTCAAAGATCTGAGAACCCACCATCATCCACCATCTTTGGCTTGTATCCACGAATCAGTCAAAAAGTTCCATGAGTTCCACTTACCAACCTGGATGCTTTGTAACTACAGTGGGATCCACAATGAGAGACGCTATCCAACGTCATATCAGCCAGGGGGACTATGGACGTGTTGGCATCCCATGTAGAGCTCCAACACGTCAACCATCCATGTAGTGCCGTGATTTGCATGGTCCGCAGCCTCGGTGGTGCGTGTCACCACAGATCCAGGCAGGTTTGTTGTGCAGAGAATGGGAAACATGCTAGTCCGGACTGGACGGGGGAATCCTACCAGAATTCACCCGGATTGGTGATCTGACATGACAAATTAAGGCCTTATTCCAAGTGCCCAAGAGTGAGTGAATAGTAAGTATATGGTAGTTTACGCGTATAGGTTTAGTCGGGGGGATGCACCTAGCCATGCGGGGCAAGCACTGATGAGCATATGATGTACGGACGTAAGGTCAGTGTTACACTCTGATAATGTTTCAGAAAATGACCCATATAGGATGATTTACATGTTAAGCATGGTGGAATTGGATAGATTCTTAGTTTGCCAGATGCTATGTTCACATTTTGCTAGGTGAGCTCCGTAGCTTGTCAGTGTAGTTACATGTTATCAGGTGGATTGTTGAGACATCAGGTGACCACCAAAGTTCAGCACCAAATAAGGCATCAACCAATAACCATCAACATCCATCAATATGGAGGTTTCCAGAGTCATGGAGGTACCCCTTTATCGCTGGTTGATTTATTTCATGGAAAATCCCGGCCTCTAAAGCGGATGATGGTATGGGGTACCCCCCATTTCAGGAAACCACCAATATCAGGGGCCCAATCTAAGCCCACTATTGCTGGGTGCGAGGGGGGGCACCTTGGCAGACGGTGGAAGTGGCAGATCTTGGTCGCTGGAATTGGCACACGAGTCGGCGTCAAAGTGACCATGGTTCCAGAGGCAAGTTTTTTTTGGGTGGTGACCAGAAACAGCAAATCTGATTAAGGTATATTAAGGTTAATTAAAGCCAAAGGATCCACCATCCCCATTTTTATCATTTCAACATTTGTTATTGAATTGAGTAAGTGTTCCAGGGATTTAGGTTTGATGTTATATGTTTCAGTATGCCATTCCGAAAATGGTCGTTTTTATTGGCGGGATTTGAATCATCAACCCATATGGGTGGTTTATGGCATTGCTTTAGTAACATGAGTCGTTTATCCGGGTGCAACACTGGTGAAGGAAGCAATCCTCACCTGCCAAGTTTGGAATGGGATTAGGGCATCACAAAAAAGAATCATAGCAATGAATCCGGACGTGATTGACCAGTGCTTGAGGATTGATTTTATTAATTGTTCATATATATTTCTCGATTGTCATGCCGCACATTAACTTGTGTCGTAATCTACTCGTGGGCACTTATTTTCTCAAAAATGCCGGACATTTTGCGCAAACAGGCGTGGCCGCCTCGAAATTCCATCATGTTGGAATCCAAACATGGTCCATGTCCAGCAATTGGGCAATGCATCAGTGCATCAGCTTTTCCATAAAAGTGTGCGGCAAGGTGATGTGGTGCATATAACATATATTTATATATATTCACAATATGTGTATATCTATATATACTGTATATATCAATACATAGATATAGAATGATATAGATACACGCACACACACACATATATATATATATATATACACGCATAATCACGAAAGCTAGCGTCAGCTAGCTGGAGTCTTCTTGCTTTAGCAAGTATTCCGGGGCTCCCCAAGGACATCACGTGCTTTTTCACGCGAAAGGGCCCCCCCCCTGCCCCCTCCCCCATATACATCATTGTTATATATCATACATCATATATCATTGTTGCATCCTCGTTGGGACGAACAATGCCGCGACACGATGATGACAGTCCTTCCGCAACTCACCTCTTCCCTTCCTTCTTTCTCCTACCCCGCTAGCTTTCGTCATCCACCCCCGGTCTCAAGTTATGGGATTTGACAGGTTACCTGCTTGTTTTTTGGGCTGCATTTCCCCGACTCCGCTGCCAGGTGCCGCAGGAGATGTCCCAACTGACAGCTGCCAGACGCGGAACGCCCGCGGGAAGTGTGCAGGATTTACATCGTAACTGGGGATGTTTGAAACCAGGATTGCTACCCTCTGGTAATTTGGTACATAGCGATTGAACATGGCCCATTTGGTTCGTTGATTTACCCATAAAACATGGTGATTTTCCATAGTTATGTTAGTTTACCAGAAGGTAAACCATGAGTTTACCCATGGGTACCAACGTCGATCGTTATGTAGCACTGTTTTGGAGGTCATACTTCCATGTATTTCCGAATTATTCAACGAAGTCTTGAAATCTTCTATTGAATTAAGCCGTTGGTGAAGTAGAATGATGTGCCCCAACCCTAGGGAGTGAGACTACCATTGGGAGTTCAAATGCAGGTTGTAGTCGCTTGTGCTTTCTTTTCCCTTCTAAAGTGATAGCACCCCAACATTGTAGTTGTGTTAATTCAATTCACTCTTTCATGTGTTTTATTTGTGTTTATCTAACTTAAACAAAACAACATGATTTCCACATACTTGTAAACCACACAGTGGATGGCCCATCCCCAATTGGTTGGGTCATAGAACGATCCTTTAATGGGTCAAGTTCTGGTTATGCCCTGGCCACTGCGTCCAAGGTAAGCATTTGCTGGCGTTGATTTTACGTCAAGATGAGCGGTCCTCGGACTACGTGCCTCGAAGCTACCTGCTGCCACCAACACAGGGACCTTACAGCTCCGAATGGGACAGCTTTCGGCGGCTTGGCACCAAGGGATACCAAGGGTCGAGGGCTGTCGGCCAGCCGTTTACACTAAGTTGACGCACAGAACGTGGTTCACGGTTGGATTTATAGGGCCTATTAGGGAAGATTTCACCAACTAGTGGGGTGAAACTCAATCCATCTCAATCCACCAACTGGGCGGCACCTTGTAAAGATCGAAGTTGATGACCTAAGAGTGGCTTCCAGGTGCTAGCAGCTAGCGGCCTGAAAGTGTTTCGCATGGCTTACAGCAATCACTGTAAACATCACGCACGCACCTATAAATTGAAAGAAAACAATGAACCTCAGGGTCTTCGGCAGATTGTATAGTCTTTTGGTTGGAGAACCGGTCAAAATCCTTTGGACATGTTGGTTCACCATCCCTTTTTCCGTCATTGTTTGGTAATACCCCCATGATGGTTGGGCTTGCATGGATCCATGACCAGATTGCTATGTGTAAGCCTCATGTCCACAGCTTGGTCTTGGGGGAACAGAAAACCAGGCGACTCAAAGTGAGTTTAAGAATAATAAGACCCGTGAAAGAGTTGATATTGACTTCTCAGATTTTCCTCGAAGTGCACCAAGGAAATTATTCCTCAAATGCTCACGCTACGTCCCATTGGTTCCCAAAATATGACTCGACCATTACCCGTCACCGCAATTGGTCCTTCAAAGGTGACCCGCGAATGTTGGTGGTGAATAAGCCCTTAATAATCCAATCTTATTGCGGGGTCACCATTTGGGGTGTGGAACAGAGCCATGAAATTCATAGGTTTCCAGCTGTAACGATGAAAAGCGAGGCGAGACTTTGAGTTGTCATCATCCTTGGCAAGGCTGGCGGATGCCGTGAAGGTTGGGGAGCAGCGCGAAGTTGAGGCCAGTGGCGGCCACGGCCCTGGGAGACCCGGGGGTGAAGGGATGACGGAATGATGGGGATTTATATAACCGTGAAACATGGGTATATAAATATAACTAATGTGATATATGAACCCTTGGGCACTTTTTTCTGCCCTCGGCGCCTAGGCAGCCGCATAATTAGGCACTTTCACCCGGAAGTTTGCAAAACTCGGCAGATTTATATTGATGTACGTTTTTTTGTCTCAAGATGTTTTTTGTGCTCCGACATCATTTTGTGCCTAGGCATTTTTACCCGGAAGTTAGGCGGAAAAACCCGGAATCTAGGCGGAAAAAAGCGGAATTAGGCAGAATTTTGTTCGAAACATTTTTCTGCACTGAACAACATGACAGGACCATACAAAAAATTATCAGCTTCGGCTTTTTTTTGGGGCCTAGGCATTTATTCTGGGAATCGGCAGAAATAAACGCCTACAGGCAGGTTAGGCACTTTTTTCTGCCTAGAGGTGTTTGTAGGTATATGTAGAACATTCGACAAAGGAATACTTCTGGAAGATTACTTAGCTATACTTAGCTTTTGGTTTCATCGATGAAATTGTCTGTCAGGAAGCTGAAACTGATCAGTTGCAGTTGAAACCAGACTTTTTGCTATGGCATTTGGGTTTTTCTGCATGTGTTCACGAAACCAACTTTGGGAGTTGTGATGTTTCTGTTGAGAGTATGACCCAATTTATATAGCTGACGTCGACATATCTGGAAATCATGTTACGTCCGAATCGTCCGGATAGGTTGAAGCCACCAAGTACACTGATGATAGCTAAAGTTTTTTTTAATGGATGGTGCTGCATACCGCTAATTTCAGAATTCGCTATTAAAAAACAAAAAAACACGCAATGTTTTGTTTTATATGTTTCATCGGTAAATCATCGAAATGACCCAATGGCTTCCATAGCTACGCCCCTGGGAGGTTCTTTTGCCTCGCTGCCAGCAGTTGTGTGCCAGTCACTCGGCGAAGGGTCGCTGTGAAAGCCCGGCATCTCCTGGCGAAATGCAGGGCTCCGGCTTTTAAACATCTCAAATCTTGATCTTCAGGGAAATTGGAGGAAATCGGAAAAATTGGGTGAATCAAAAGCCAGATTTAATCTAAATTTGATATATTAAAAAGACACGCTCCTCTTCAGGATTGACCAGCTCGGCTTGAAGTGTTTGTTTTCTCCCTGTCAGATCTTGCCGTTGGACCCGTTGGAGGCATCGACACAGCCCTGGATCTCGGGGCCGACGCAAAGGACGCAATGCTCGAAGCGGAGCTGTTGCTGCACAGGGTGGAAAAACTGCCCTGGCTGCAGACGCTGGGTGCTGTCTCCAGCGGTTTTTGGGTGGGTTCACACCATGGGTCTGTTTGAAATGGTTGATTTATAATGATTCCCAGTACCCTTCATGTATGGCAAGTTTGATAGAGAACATGATGACACTAATTATATACTATATGTATTATAATCAAAATTAATCAGGGGTTGGGAATGCCCTATTTTCAGACAAACAAATATGTGGATGAGGTCAATACCTACGACACATTGCATGACAATGTTTGCATGAGCAACCTCACTGGCCGATGTTACCATAGTCCATGTGAATGTATGTGAATGTATGTGAATCTATGTGAATGGTGGTTATCCCAAAGCAGCCTTACTCAATGTTTTGGATGTGTCTTTTGTTTGCCTAGATTTTTTTTCTACCCCTTTGCGTCTGGAATGAGATTGCAATCCCTAATATTGACTCTCTGCTTCGACTGCAGCACCATGCAAGAATTGGTCGGCAAGTTTACAGGAAACATGGGGAAAAAGGGTTTTACTTGAGATTATTCCCGGAAATCCGTTAAATCGATCCATTGACACAGCAAGGATGAAGATCAATGAAAAGAATTGGTGGCTTTTAAAGCCAGTGGATGGTGCTGTCGGAAAAGGCTGGCCCCTTCTGGGGACGGTCCTCTTGTGGTCTGTGTTTGTTGTGTGTGTTTAGCGAAATTAAACCAATATGAGTTTATTACGCATGGTAGAACACCGAGGGACCATAGAGTGGCAGTAGTGCGGCAGTAGCATCAACGATACCTGCATGCCGCTGTGCCACAGGTATCGTTCTCTTTGGTGGTTTGGGTGTTGAGAAGCCTTTGGAGGTATCAACTGAGATGTTCAAAGGCAAGGCAGGGGTGGTTTGTAAATGTTGGTAAGCTGCTGGGACCATTTCAAGGGATGATCAGAAGATGGGGCCTAAAGCATGTTGATAGAATTGATAGAACTTCCCAAAAATATATAGCCCAAGCTCCCTGAAAATTGTTGAGTCGACCACGTGGGATGCTTGTATATGCTGTTATCATGCTTGTTGCAGGACACTGCTGGGTTTGCTCACCCCTTGACACTGGAATCTTTCATGTGTTACGGCCAACATCTACCTCCCCTTTTCAACTAGCAGATGACATTTGATATTTTGTATATATTTTGTCATTTTCCAGTTGGAATCCATAGCACCACCCCAAGAAAAAAGATAGAACAGAATATGGTACACCGTCCCCCTGGAAATTAAGCGAAATTATGATGGATTATGTTTGAACTAATGGATTGGTTTACGGGAAAATTTAATGGTAAAATCGATGGTTTCCGGTGGTCAGATTTTCCCAACAAAACCAATCCATTGGAATCAGCATCTCTAGACGTCCGATGCAACACAGGCCGTGGCACGGATGGTTTCATCCTGCAGAAATACGTGGAGAAGCCCCACCTCCTCGACGTCTGGAAGCTGCTGAAGGCGCCCGCAAAATAAGATCGGGGAATTCAATGGTGGCGTACGTTGAGGTCACAAGTTTCGGAAACCTTCTGCTCACACACACAGAAATATAACGATGTATATATATATATATTAATATTATATATATATATATATATTTTTTTATAACATATATATATATGTATTATATTATATAATTTAATTATATATATATTGAATAAATAAATATATTTATATCATGTATAATATATATAATATAGTAACATGCACACGCCTGCACATATACATATAATATATATATATATAATATATATAATAATATATATATAATATATAATATGCTCACACTGTCACACACACATATATGTATATATATATACTGTATATATATATATATACACATGTGTATTCGATATGTTTGAACGATTTTGGGTGAAGATATGCCGACCTGAGGATAATGGTTTGCATATGAGCGACCGCCCGGCCAAACATTTGAGGTTGGCGAATTATTTATATAGCCAAGATACCACAATTCATGACGAGAGATCGCTGAAAATTTGAAGATGTCACCATCGGGTTTAGATGTACCCTATAGTTTACTTCGAGAGGGTCCCAAAATAGAGTTATTGTTATTGTTAGAATCCGTAACCGTCCCCCAGTTTCAAAACCTGGGTTCAATTCTCCTGAGATGACATGATGAATGACAAGTGTGTGTATATATATATATATGCATAAGTCCAACTTGGACCCCATATAAGTCTTGTCTTCCATGGGCCACTCAGGTTGAGCAAGGCAACGAGCTAGCTGACATGGAGCTGGTAGACGTGCTGTTCAAATACAACCTGCGGCATTGGGTTCTGATCCGATGGGCGGGTGCAGACCCACCAGTTTCTTCGACAGATGTGTCAAACTTTTGGGTGTGGATCGGGATGTTCAGTTTTTTTTGTGGAATATCTTGGGGACTTGACAAGGCAAACCATGTAATTACTCTACTGAAATGCTGTCCAGTGCTGTGCAGGAACTGCGCAAGGCTACTTTTGATCCAATTCAAGTATCCAATTAGCAACTTATAGCAATGCCATGCAATGGCGGTCCAGTGGCTGAGAGAGTTCTAAAATTTCACTTAACTGCATCCCTGCAATATCCTGCAATTGCAGCCAGCACTACAATTGGATGTGGAATGTCTTGCTGGCATTAAGTGAGTCACGTCTCAGTCTACGACTGCAAATCGCTGGATATGCCAACTGTTTTTTTTTTTCACCCCCACCGCGATCATTATCATCGCACCATCATCACCATCATCGTAATGATTATGATTCTCGCGATCGTATCATTTTTCCTTGCTGGTGTCATTTCCATTCGTTTCCAGCATCACCACCACCACCACCAGCAAGTATATCTCCACACAAGAAACCATCCATCCAGCCAATTCAACTTTCCTACCTGCCTCAAAAGTTTTCAGGTGTGGTTGTATGAGAAGGGTTACATTGAGCCGCTGGTTTGCACTTTTGACTTGCTTTTCCATGTGTTTCACTACGCATGGGACGAATGATATAATCAAATATAGCTAATTCGGTTTTAGTTTTAGGATGTGTTTTGGGGGGGTTGAGGCATTTGTTTGTTTCTTTATAGGTAGGCCGTCGTTCGAATGTCTTGATCTTTCTGGCACGGCTCAACCGTCCAGGCTATGCTTCCACCCTTTCTCTGCCACTTTGGAGAGCGGATCCCACATCGCCAATCTGGCGCCTGAACCCGGACGATCCCCAGCATCGCCAGCACTGCCCAAACGGATGTGGTCCAGCGACGTTTTGGCGCGCTATTTGGAAGCGACCACTGGAAATCTGGGATGAACTTTATGGTGGGGCTGTGGAACATGGGTTGTAATATTGGACTGGCAAGGTTTGATAAGACAGCCATTTAAATATTAAATAGGGAAAATGGGTTGCATACCTTCAGAATGTCTATCACAAAGATGTGACTTTGTTGAGTACCTCAATTTTTGGACGAACATTCATGGATTGGCCCCCGTTAAACAGATCGTGGCAATTGATCAGCCCCGTACTTTGTTGGTGGGGGCTGTAGTGACCGCAGTGCCTAGCTAAAAATGCGATCTGTTTTGCAAGGGGTCGAATATTTGCCTTGTTTGATTTAATAAGATCATCATCCATAAATAGGTGACTTTCCATTGCCCGATCTGATTGAGAGTATGGGTTGAGTTTTCGATTGATCACCTGGTGCATGGATGGAGGGTCAGCCACGTTGGGGCATACTAAGTTTCATTTGAGTTTTTCGATGTTTGTCGGAAACTAGCTTACCATAGCTTACCCCAAATATAGTTTTAGAGTTTTGGGGTGTACCTCATTTTCCGACACTCCCATCTGACTCATTTCTGAGTTTCTGGTATGTTTCCTCGGTCAAAGCACTTCCTCCGTATCTGAGGATCAGATGTGTGGAGCACCCAGATTCTGCCCCAACTTCACCGCGTGGTCGCCGACACTGTGGCTGCGGCTTGTCCCTTGCGCACCTTCGGCGCACAGGAGATGGTCGACGTTTGCTTGTGGGGTTGGCTCCGTATAGGTCCATGCGGATTCCATGGGGATTTAGGATTATTATGAAATAATTATTTTGATTCTAGAAATCCGAGAATCAGATCTGGGAAGCCTTTGGATTTTAGAAAGTAGATGGGGATGATGTGGGAAATATTTATTTATGATTTAGTCATATGCATAATTTATTCTGCACAGGGTTGGGCTGGACTTAGGTGAGCAGTTTCAAAAACAAGAGCCCATGATGAGGACCCCAGTTCACCAACCATCATATTTGGGTTTTCCAGTAGGTATCCCACTATATTTCATGGTTACTATACTTGAATAGTTATTATTCCATCTCATTTTTCTTAGTTACTATACTTGAATATAAATCTATGGTTAATGCTATAAATCTATGAAATTTGAATCCCAATAGCTAGAAGAAATTCATAGTTACATATAGATACTATACTTGAATCATAGAATCCCATTGTCCCAAATGGTTAATGGTTCATGCTATGAATCCCATTTGGTTTTATTTCCGCCGCGCGGGTGATGTCTGCTAGCCGGCTTCGCAGGAGCCGGCTGAGCGCCAGCCTTGGCGGCGCTTTGGCTTTGATTTCACCCTGGATGAAGACCTTCAGGTGGGGACGAGTCAAAATTTCCAGCCTGTGGGACCACGTGATCAAGTATTTTAGTATATGAAGTAAGCATTGGGGTGTGGGGGTGCCCAATTTTTTGCCAAATTCAATAGCTATCCCAGGTCTGGCTGATTGAAGTGAATCACAAACCTGGAATGATGCTTGGACTATGATTATGACAGGTGGAACTCCTTGGTGCAGGGTTGGAAAATCCATGAGTTGTATGAAACCTGAAACCAATCGCCTGGGCGCAAGCTGAGCTTTAAGTGGTACCTGGTAGCAGCTACGGTGCTTCGATGGGGCGCGCAAGCGGCTTGGCATGTGGTTATGAATCCACATTGTTGTAAAGATGTTTATGAAAATATATAATAATATATATATAAAATATATGTATATAATAAAATATATAATATATATATATATATATAATAATAATAATAATATATATAATAATATATATATGTATACGCATTGTTTTGAAGCTCATAGACGCATAAATATCATACAGATTGACTTGCAAATGTACTGTACTGTTTATTGCCGATGCATATAATGTAGATAAAATGATGCAAGTAAATATGTATAACACGAATATATATATATATGTGTGTGTGTAGTGTGTATTTTTGTTGGCCTTTGCGTAGATATACTTCTATCACAATCCAACCTTCCCATCACCAGTTGCCAAGGAAGTCACCCAAGGGCTGGACAGGTGAAGCCAAACGGCGTCTATTGGTGCCGTGGCCCAAGTGGTCAGATTCGCACCACATCAACGGGGGCGGGCGGGGAATGATCTGCAGTGGGTTGAACTATGAGCAATGGAGGTTTAACCCTTCAACAATGGAGGAAATGGAGGTTACATGGGATTAGAATGAAATATTTGTGGACATAACTTTCAGAAACGGTGACTTTATCAGCGCAAATAGTGGTATAATGGTGATATACTGGATACTAGTGGGATAGCGATGTATATTTTCTGGGGAAATTGTCAAAAACTGATAAAGCTTGGTATATCCAGGAAATGTATGCAAATATTCAAGGCATATACGGTTCATACACGGCACTCAGTGTGATGCTTTGCAGCAGAGGCAGACTTTTACGGCGACGAGCGAGACCTGTGTGGTGTATCGCTGGAAGAGAAGAGGGACAACTGCGTCCAACCCATTGGCTCCTTTCGGAGGGTTAGGTTGCCAGCGGCCAAAATGGAGTGCTACAGAGGGTATGGATTGAAGCCGCCAAGCAGTAAATCACAGGAGTTCAAGAGGGATGACCCTTACAATGCGAACCACCTCACCGCAACAGCTACTGCACCTGTTGGGGTGGAATTGAACGTTGCTTGCAGCGAGTTTGGCTCACTTTATCTCAGAAAGACCAGCTAGTGCCCCTGCAAGCGAAGGGTAAAAGAGGATAATTACCAGCAATTCACTGGCTGGAACATGTTTTTACGCAATAAAATGCAAGAACACAACCTTTTGAGATTAGGTTTCTAGCTCTCCACCTTCATGTTTCAGGGGCGTTTCATTGCAAAAACAACATGATTTCATGATTATTTGCCTTGATTTGTGGTCACCACGTGGAAACTTATTGCATATATACAACCACTATGAACGTTTCTGAACAAACATTCTGAGACAGTCATTACTCAGTCATTTCACCTCCAGGAAACACGTCCTTCCGAACTCCTCGCGGTGGATGCGCCTTTGCGGCTATGGCGACTGTCGAGCTTCTGCAAGCCCAGGCTGGACGCAGACAGGGTGGACCCACGATAGTGATAGTGAGTCAAGCTCCTTGTATGATTGAGTAGACCATTTCCGGTTATATGGAAAGAATCACGAAGGATAGGATATCATATACATAGATGTGTGATATATGCGGACAGACTGTTCACGACTTGCACTAATTTGCATGTGAAAGTTTGGATGGTTTTATAGATGGATGGATGACCTATGGAGGGCTTGAGTACCTTCTCAGCAAACACTGGGATCCAGAGGGTGTAATTGCTGTATAGTAACACGGTGAGCAACAGCCGTCGGTTCAGAATCGAGGGCTTATCAGTCATCAACGACCAGAACTAAGGGCGAATCTTGACAATCGGTTCGATCCCATGATCAGAAGCTGGTGCCCCCCAGTGATGTTTGTTCGATATATCCACCACAGAATTCAGCTAGTTAGGTTCACCATGGTTCACCAACTTAGCTAAGGAACTCTGGCACGAAAAAAATCTTCCAATTTGTCTCCCAATTAGCTGGGACCATTTTCCCAGCTACAAAAGCTTCCATTTTGTTCGGAGATTTTCCCACATCTTAGTTCTGAAAATCTGTTATCTTGAAAATTATTTTCCCACATTTGCCAGGTTTATCCAGTTCTAGAAAATATTTCCTCTGTTCTTCTGGGATTTTGCGACATCGTCAGGTCACAGCCCTTACTCAGCGAATGGACCACATGGCCAGTCAGGCGCGAGACCAGCTCGTTCCGAAGCCATCTCGTTCCACCACTGGGCGTGGCGTGTGATGACTAGCTAAGATGTGCAATTAATGGCATTTAATGGGGATATAATAGACTTTTGGTGGGTTTAACTGCATTCAATGAGATACAATGGGATATCACAGGATATATGAGCTACTTGGGATGCAGTTGTTTTTTTCATGGACAGAATTATGATAGTAACCAGCAAAACAACCATTTAATGATGGATTATAACCAACTAATAGGAATATAATATAATGGGAACATGTATTGTGTGTACGGACAGGATATATAATATAAATATAAATGTATATGATGATGATGATGAAGATGAACAGTATTACCATGGTTATGTAACCACCTGTAACTGAATACCCTTGGGATAATTCAGACTAGCCTAGTGAAGCAAGGTGTCTTCCATGCGCTTCACGCAAGCTTTCTGTGAAAAACTTGCACCTAGGCAAACTGGGCGGATCGGCGATGCCACAGTATAGGGAAATTGCAATTTTATTGTCATATTGAACTCATCCACGAAGAAAGGATGTTGCCTGTAACGAAGGTGAAATTGTGTTTCGCAGGCACTTCCCCATTTGCTTGGCACCCACATTTGATCCAGAGGTGATCAGGGATTGTTGATGTCTCCCCAAAATTCTGTGGTAGAAGCTAATGTTCTTTTTGGGATCTCTGGCAGATGCAACTGGGCACTTCTCATGTCTTAGTTGATCGCATACGGAATCATACGGAGCGATTGCCACATCGACCGTGAGCACCTGCGCTTCCATGATCTATATATATATATTTATATTTATTTATATATATATATATCCCCGGAAAGAAAGGAAGGTGCTTCTAGGATCCTGTAAATGATGTTTATGGCTGGGGGTTGCTAGAGTACCTACCATTCACTATTGTTTTGTCTTAGATTTGCTGAAGTCAGGTGATTTTTGGCATTAGCATACTACGTGCCACACACATATATATATATATGTATATATTTATATTATGTATATAGTATATACTTGTACTCACACACACACACACATATATATATATACACACATAGAAGATTATATATATATATATATGTATGGGCTACATGTCTCCATTTTTTAATTGTTATCAACTGCTTAAGATGCCATGATGATCATGGGAAGCTCAGCCTGGCATCATGACGCGGCAAGACCGGACGGCACTGACGCCACTCTTCCATACCTGGGATAATTTCCTATTTGGGTTGATGGTTTACCTTCAACAAACAATATACATGTATATAATTGTGTATACATATACATGTATATGAATATATATATAAACCATTATTACCATTACTATTGTTTTTGATTATTGTTTTAACTATTGGTATTACTTTTGATGCGTTGACTTTTACTACTTGTTAGTGTTATTATGTTATTTTTGTTTTTCTTATCGCTTGTCCTTTCTATCACCGCGGTTTCGAACCCAGGAATCCGAAGCAGAACTGCAGCTGATGCGCCTCCGGCTGACGGAGAGTTTCCAGAGCAGCACGGTGGCATGTGTTTTTTTTCCAAGGATGATATCCTACAAGGACCCCCAGTTATAAGTGGTTTATAAAACCCATGAACTAGTTCCCAACAGCAGGGCCTGTTGGGTTTCAATCTCTAGGGCTGGGGCTGGCTCGCGGGGACTTGCAGCCTTCAAAATCCGGAATGGAACCCTGGAACCCTGGAACCCTGGAACCCTGGAACCCTGGAACTGGAACCCTGAAACCTTGGAACCCTGGAACCCTGGAACCCTGGAACCCTGGAACCCTGGAACCCTGAAACCTTGGAACCCCGGAACCCTGGAACCCTGGAACCCTGGAACCCCGGAACCCTGGAACCCTGAAACCCTGGAACCTTGGAACCCTGCGACCGTGGAACCCTGAAACCTTGGAACCTTGGCACCCTGGAACCCTCAAGGATTCTGGAACCCTGCAACCTTGGAACCCTGGAACCTTGGAACCCTGCACACCTGGCACCCTGCTGGGATCCTGGAACCCTGAAACCCTGGAACCCCTGGAACCCTTTGGAAACCTTGGAACCCTGAAACCATGGGACCCTGGTACCCTGGAACCCTGGAACCCTGAAACCTTGGAACCCCGGAACCCTGGAACCCTGGAACCCCGGAACCCTGGAACCCTGAAACCCTGGAACCTTGGAACCCTGCCACCGTGGAACCCTGAAACCTTGGAACCTTGGCACCCAGGAACCCTCAAGGATTCTGGAACCCTGCTACCTTGGAACCCTGGAACCCCATGCACCCTGCTGGGATCCTGGAACCCTTGGAACCCTTGGAACCCTGGAAACCTTGGAACCCTGAAACCGTGGGACCCTGGTACCCTGGAAGCTTGGAACCCTTGAAACCCTAAAACTTCCAAACCCTAAACTCTATGCGCGCTGCGCGCGCTGCATGCAATAAAGTAAACCCTAAAACTTCCAAACCCTAAACCCCTAATGCGCGGTGCGCGCGCTGTGTCCCAGAGAAGTAAACCCTAAAATTTCCAAACCCTAAACCATCGTGTTATGCAACTTCCAAACCCTAAAGTTTAACCCGCGGTGTGCGCGCTGCATGCAATAAAATAAACCCTAAAACTTCCAAACCCTAAACCCTAATGCGTGCTGTGCGCGCTGCGTGCCAGAGATAAACCCTAAAACCTTCAAACCCTAAACACTAATGCGCGCTGCGCGCGCTTTGTGCAATAGAAATAAACCCTAAAATCTTCAAACCTGAAACTCTCGTGTCATAGAGGTAAACCCTAAAATTTCCAAACCCTAAACCCTAAACCCTAACGCGCGCTGCGCGCGCTGTGTGCCATAGAAGTACCCCTTAAAATCTCCAAACCCTAAACCATCGTGTCATGGAGGTTAACCCTAAAACTTCGAAACCCTAAAGTTCAACCCACGCTGTGCACGCTGCATGCAATAAAATAAACTATAAAACTTCCAAACCCTAAACCCTAATGCGCGCTGCGCGCACTGCGTGCCACACACATAAACCCTAAAACTTTCAAACTTTAAACCGTAACGCGTACTGCGCGCACAGCCTGCCATAGAGGTAAACGGTTAAACTTTCAAACGCTGCGTGCCATAGAGGCAAAGCCTAAAACTTTCAAACGCTAAACCGTAAAGCAGGCTGCGCGCGCTGCGTGCCATAGAGTGCTCCTCAAAAGTGATTACATGTCATAGTTTAGTGGCATCCTCCAAATTCATTAGTCAGCCTTTGTTAATTCAGGGCCCATTTTACACATGTCATCTTCTTGGTCGTGGCGCCATTTCAGGATCACACTGATGACCTAAGCTTTGGCCTTAACTATTATGCAGGCAAGCGACATCAGCACGCTATGGTATTGGAAGACACAGGGTTTGCCCGTAGACCAGCCAAAAAATCGATTTTCCACACTGAACAATTGGATTTAACACATTTAGAATAGGAGCTCCGCCTGATTCAGATTTCATCACTTAAAAGGTACCCATGCCTGACTAGCCTTCATGACTTAAAGCGTAACCACACCCGACTTAAGGGAACCATGCCTGACTAGCCTTCATAATTAAGAGGTACCCACCCACGCCTGACTTAACAGAACCCATGCCTGACTAGCCTTCATAATTAAAAGGTACCCATGCCCCTGAATTCAGGGAACCATGCCTGACTAGCCTTCACAATTAAAAGGTACCCACTGGAACCATGCCTGACTAGCCTTAATGACTTAAAAGGTAACTACACCTGACTTAATACCTGATTTACTGGTTTTGCCTGATTTTGGAAAAACGCAGGGCCGGAATTTGCAGGGCGCGGGCCGGAATTTGCCGGGCCCGGGCCGGAATTTGCCGGGCTGGGATTTTGGGGTCGTGCCTAAATAGGATTTTTGCAAAAATCGTGCATGACTGAAGGGAAC